AGTACGAACACACAGACACATGCACATATATATATATATATATATATATATATATATATAACAGCCCCTTGCCAATATGCGCTTTTGCATTTGCATATAAGCAAAAACGCATAAAAAACTGTAGTTTTTGACGGCGTTTCTCGGCGGCCTCGCAAATTTTTATTCCTTTTACATGTTTGCTTGGTTATTACACATGGAGTTTTAACCAGGGGAGCGGGGCAGGGCACTAAGATAAAGTCAAAATTTGAGGAGCATTTTCTGCCGACACCGCGGATTTAAAGGGACTGGACAAGGAAGAAAGCTGAAAATTTGGGATGATGCGTCCTGTCAATATGCAACTCTAGACAATCAAATTCAGCTATCACGTACGCTTAATTCTCATATACGGACATCTGAAATTTATCGTGGGTCAGTGGCCACGTTATGCATCCGTACGTCCTTGTTTTTAACATAATGGTATTAAAGAGGTGTATCTTTTAAGGTAGAAGAGGATTAAAAGTTTCAGTCTTCTGCCTCTATGTGTAGTCAGGGACTATGTTTTCAAAATCTTTCAGTTTCGTGGCTTTTGTAGCTCTTGAGCTGTATTGTGTACAGATAAATCAACTGATGGGTACGCGCCTACAAATATGATTGTGCTGTAGTGCATTTGTATTTACAAAGATCATAATGAGATTGTTTTGTATGAATCATGTTTACAAAAATACAAGAAAAAATTTGTTTGAATGGAAATTATATGGGGAGAAATGCGTAATAAACAAAATAGGAAGCCGAGAAATCTTTAGTACTGAAGATATAGTTTGCACTACTGACTGACCTGCACAGCAAGTCCATTGAGATCACTTCCGGCACTAGCTGCTGTTGGACTAGTATTGGGAACTTTGTCCGTGGACGTATCTTGAATGTGCACTTTCGATATGTCAACACCCAAGCAGCGTGCCGTTATCTAAAATTTTCAACTTATTTTAAAGAGCGAAAACATGACATCCTGAACTGTTTGATCAACACCTGACCATTCTGAGCAGCAAGTGTTCTAAGGGAGATTGAAACTGCCTTAATGTGGAGTTTTCGGCACTTCTAAATAGCTATATTTCACGGGCGTGAAGACGTAGACTTGCACAATGGCCGTTTTTTTTCCGCGGGTAAATTGTTATGAACAAAATGAGTGCCCATTTTTGGCAAAGTGGGTATGTTCCCCATTCGAAGAATTTGCATTTTCCAATTTAATGAATAAAAAGGGACCTGGATGATTTTTGTGTGCAGCCCTTGTCCCATTTCCATGCCTGAATGTGACACAAGTATGCTACCATCTTTGTAAATATGTACGAGTGCGCCAGCTTGGTTCAAATGTTTGCGGCCGAATGCAACGCCAAACTTCGTTGGTAGCAAATAGATACCGCGCTTCACGTATCTGTGCTTCCTGTGAGAAGTTTATTTAAAGCAGCACTTAGTGCGCTGGACATGGGTTCGCTCGCTCGTATGAGTAGCTGCTACAGCATGTTTTTGAGATAACTCAATGCCGCGGAAAATGTCTTTTTTTAGCAAAATGGCTGAATTGCCGTGCAAAGCGTTAAAAATAGATTCTTGAACTGACATCCTGTCTAGGAAGTACAAAAGAAAAAACATCAAAATTTCAGTTTTCAATTTGAAATTTGCTATAAGTATATTATTTCTCCAATTGAATGGACCATGCCCAGCTCTTCAGCACCACCGTGTCCAAGGTAATGACATGAGAATGCAAGACGCTGTTACTCACAAAAGCCAAAGAACGAGCGCAGAAGCGAAGAATGCCTAGCATGTTTCTTCGTGATAATATAAATAATCAAAGTCTTCGTCAAGTGAGTTTGGCACTGCAACCACGCCGGACAATGATTTCTGATGGACAAGACATGCTATTCGTTTTGTCGCCAGCGCTAGACGTTATGTGTTAATGAGTGTAATACCCGAGAGAAAGTTAACGATCCCTTAAATAGTCTCTGAAGAGGTAGCACAAATACAATGAACAGGAGGCGGGTACGAACCGAAACATGCAGCCCACGACTGAATCGCCTGGCATAGCTGCGCTCAACGAATAAAACCTTTTTGTTAACATAACAAACACCTCAAACTGACTCGACTGTTACAGGACTGTGAATTTTAAAATTAGTTGAGAAAGCACACCTGTTGAAGGAATCAACAACTTTGGACCGCGCATCAAAACTACTGATTTCTTTGCATTCTTTCCAACATCGTCGGATGTTGCACTGCGTTAGCAACATTCCAAAATGTGTATAGTCACCTTCACTGTACAAGTTCTTCTCTCGAAACTGAATTTTGTTAAATTGCAAAAATGAGTGGCAGCGCACCCGTGCGTAATGGACGATTTGCTGCTTTAATTAGATGAACTGCGCAGGTTGAAGCAGGGTGAACAGCACTATATTACGCCCGCACACATGACACGTGTTTGGTATGCTGCCAAATGTTGCCTCAAATAATCAGCAACATCCAAGCAGCTGGGTGGAAACGATTCATTATTTGCACAAACAGATTGTAAAAAGTGTGGCAACGGACTATAAACCACGGAAACCAAACAGCGAAGAAATTTAAATTGAAAAAAAAAAACAAAACAAACCAATCTCAGGTTTTTTTAGGGATGTTCCTTAAAATTTAGTTCAGAAGTTAGCACAGCAGTTGAGGGCAAATGAAGCATAACTGCGATCGACCCGTAATGCAATTTTTCTCAAAAAAATTCGCGAAAGGCTGATGTAACCGTATTACTGAAGTTCCCTCCTCAAAAATAATCCAAAGGCAAATGAGACTTTGTTGTTTAATTTAATCCAGGCTGGAACGCACCAACCGAACCGGTGCGATCATGCGTTTTTGCACTAAACTCACAGATCGCAAATAGCAGGAATGATCCTTGCGCTGTAACCTGACACTTGGGCTCATACTGGCCGTGCTCTGGCTCCTTCCGGCATGCAGGAGAAAAGGCGTCTGTTGGGATGAAAGCGTTGCACTATACGGTCGCATGGATTTCCAGGTACATGAATACCAGTTTTTTGCATAAAGCCTGGTCGTTTTTATTATGCGTTTTTGCCGTGCAGCGCTAGAGCGCTGCAGCAGGCAACAAAAACGCATATTGCCCCTGTGTGTGTATATGTGTGTGTGTGTTTTCGTCTCTCTGGATATTTCAACTCGCCAACCACGCAAGCTTTGAAGCTGAAATTTTGCCACTGTGTTCCCCAGTCAAGTGCCACTCCAGGACCGCGGTATCAACTCTCATGCACGCCTGGGTCCCGCGTACAAGCACATGAAAGTTTTGGCGCGAAAATTGATAACTCGGGAACGAGAAAAGCTAGAGAGCTGAAACCTTCGGGGAATGTGTTAGGCCCGTTACGTGACCCTTGACTGTGGCAGCGATGGTCGGGGAGAAACACCAGTAGTTTATTCTTCTAATAAACACTTCACTCCAGAGGAAACGACGAAAATGACGCGTAAACGATGAGCCGGGGCACCGCACAAGCTGTGCAACAGGGTAACAACG